TGGTGTTATGAATTATGCAACAAAGTTACGTGAGCAACCTAGTGAAGCATATATGTACATTTTCGACCAGTGATGAGAAAATACAGTTATTTTAGGAGACTTGTCTGTTAAGCTCGCTTCGTTTGTTTACGGATTATCATGATTTGAATGCTACTACACAGCGAGACCTCTTCCCGTTACTTTACACAAACGCCAAGTTGGACGCACTGCGTGGCTCCCAGTGGTTTCCCACATTAGATTTAGCCTCAGGCCTTTAAGAGGTAGAGGTACTGTCTGGAGACAGACCTAAAACTGCCTTGTCCGTGCCCACCTGATGATGTTAGTTTGAACCCATTCGATTCCTCTTTACGAATGCTCTCGCCACGTTTTGACGGTTAGTGCAGAATGCAGTTGCAAACAGTGCTTCATTTATCTTGATGACATAATCGTGTCTGAATAATTAGCTGAAGAATATTTTATGAAACTAAGAGCCGTTCTTCGTTGTATGCATGATGACAACCTAAAGTTGAGACCTTCTGAATGCCATTTATACAGAAATCTGTCACATTCCTATCACATAAAAGTACTTAACAAGGAGTTAGCATTGATTTAAGTAAGATCCACGTCATCATGTTCTGACCTCCGAAATCGATGGCAGAAGTTATCAGTCCCATGGGACTCGGTTCTTCCTGCCATCGCTTCGTCAAAAGTTTTGTCAATCTAGCAGCTCCAATCTATCGCTAAACACAAATTTGCTTGGACTGTTGAATGTCTGGAGGCGTTTGATAAGCTTAAAACGTGTTTAACTTCCCCTTCATTGTTGGCATTTCCGGATGCGTCCATATATTCAGTCACTTATACTTAGATGCTAACGCTAGGCCTCAAGTGATAGGAGCAGTCCTGTCTTAGGATATATTTGATAGGCGAAAAGAGTTATCGCATATTCTAATCCAAATTTGGATATGATAGAGACGTATTATTCAATGGCCCTTTGCAAGCTGTTAACCCTTATATACTTTCTAAATTATTTTCGATCCTATCTGCTGGGGTACAAATTTCAGATACGGATGAGTAACAAAATGTTGAGTAGCTAAAGAATTCCCATGATGCATAGTGTTAACTTTCTAGCTGGATGGATCGCTTGCAGAAGTCCGACTTCACTTGCGAATATCAAAAAAGCGTATCACATCACAATACCGATACCATATCACGTATCCCAGAGACCAGCAGGACTCTGTACGCATTATTGAGCTTGTCTGCAATCGGCCAATTCACAAATACAGAATATTTATTTGGGATTGATAAACCTTTGAGTGAAAAATGAAGGATATTTCACTAATAATAGATTACATTTGTGTCATGTCAGCTGGGTTGATCAGTGTGTTCTCTTTCCTGTTTTCCAGGTGAAGCTGTTCCCTAAGCATCAATCGTCCGTACATAAACGATCGCTTATAAACATAAGCTTGTCGAAGTGTTATTTAATGATTAGAATGGTGATGTATTGCACGTATTATAAATTGTGCATCATTTTTATTCATCAATGTGTTCAACATAATTTTTTTAGTTTTTAGGTTAACATTTTTAAAAAGTGCAGAGTAGACTTGAACTGTTTACAATGCAAATTTGTCAAGACTAGACAGTTTTAGTTATAAATATAATTATGATTTATATAATACCTGAATGAGATGATCACCTTTAAAAAAAAAAGAGTAGCCTCACTTAGAGAACAATTTGTCTGGTGATCTTTCTCTCTGTTTGAAGTATTTTATTAATATTACTATTACACTAATTTTTTTTTGTCATGATGGTCATTTATGTGTATTTAAGAAGTTCATATGAATTTATAAGATATTTCACTAAAAACTAATGAATTATATATTTTTTAAATACAATTTCATTCTCAGTTAGTAAATAGCTTATGACTATTTATAATGTAAAGAAATTCATCAGAATACTTAGTCTGTAGTGGGAATGATGTAGCAGGCTGTGGAATACAGTTGCTAGATTGTTTGATTTTTTCTTCTTTAGGAAACATAGTGTTCAGGAACACTCGCGAAGTAAACGGGATTAAAGAATTTCATAATATAGGAACTATTAACTGATAAGAATAACTGAGAACGGTTATCAGGTTTTTGAGCCACTAGGATCGAAATCTGTGCGTCGGTGGCACAGTGGTTAGGAATCTCGCCGACCATGCACATGGTCCGCGGTTCGATTCCCTGCCGACTCACACCTGATATCTATGGTCGGCCTGCAAAATTTGGGCTACCGATATCACATGCTGAAAATTCCATATATGTACCAAAATATACGGTGTGGAATCAAGTTGTAACAAAAAAAATCATTCTAATTTGAACTATATTTATTCGATAGTAGTGCATATTAGCGAACCACTCTCGGGAGTTATAACTCTGGGTAGAGATCAGTCTATGCAGAATGTAATATATATTTCAGTCAAACATGAAGTCTACTCAAATATCAATGAAACAGAGATCCTTGAATAAAACAGTTCCTACCGAAATATATCAGTTTTTGGATATCTTTGAAAATAACTCCCTAATTGCTTTTGCAAAACTGTTACAATTATTGTGAACAGAACTATACGATAATTGCCATTGATAAAGTTTCCACACATACCTGTTCAATAAGACAAATAAATTAGTTAATTTTAACACTATTTTGATGATAGTGATTTCTTCCATACGGGTCAGAAACTTGGCCAGCATGTCACGAAAAGGATTTCTAACAGGCCACTGCAGACTTTTATCAACAGCTGCCTTCGCTGGCTCTATACTCCAGATCAAATGGTCAGCCAGAAAGATTCAGCAACAAGAAACTCTGAGAACAAACCAACCAAGAGCCTATCGCGCCACAAATATGTCGGAGAAAATGGAGATGGATCGGGTATAAGTTGAGTAGGCCGTCTAATGACATCGCGCACCAGGCCATAGCTTGAGTGGAATCACAAGTGGGTCATCCTATGGTGACATGCAGGAGATCGTATGGGCTGAAGGAGGAGATGAAAGATTATGGTCAATCGTGGAGCGAGCTGAAGAGGACAACAGAAAATAGAAGAAAGTGGAGATGTGTTGTTGAAGCCCTATTTTCCCCTGGAAACCCAAGTAAATAATAATTATTACTTATAATATTTTGATACTAGCCACAAATTAAATTTTTATTGAATACTTTAAAAAATTTTGACCACAGTTTAAATATTGACTGAATTCGAGTAGCTTTATTGCATACTTCCGCTATTGTATCTTCTTAGTTTGTTTCTAAAATGGTTTAATGATAAGTTATGTTTTTTACTTACTTTTTAAATGAAATTTTGCATGAAATAAAAAATTTTTCTGGCGTACACATTATCGGTGGCATTACATTCTTGAATTGCTCTTCACCTGCTGCACTTTTATCAGGAAATATTGCTTGATGCTGACATCTGAGCGATGTTATGGATTAAAGGAGGTAATAGGTTCAAAAGTTACACAAAACAACAGCGAAATCACTTCATTCAGCTCTATGTCAACTAAAAGACTCAACAGCGAAGGAAGATAAAACCAACATCACCTACAAAATAAGTTGCAACGAGTGAGAAAAACACTACATTGGTGAAAGTGGACGTCCCCTTCGTCTTCGTATTCATGAACATAAACTAGCTATCAAAAGACATAATGTCCACTGCCTCTCAGAGATAAACTTTGTCGGCTTCAGGACCCAATAGATCCAATTAGGAAAAATAATATAATTTACCAAATACCATGTAATGACTGTGAGGTCAATTACATATGTCAAACTAGTAGATCAGGGTCAACTAGACTATTGGAACATAAAAATTTAGCTAGACCTAGAATAATTGACCCTGATAAGTTAAATAACCTAGAAAAAACAGCGCTCAGCCATTGCATTGTATTCACTTACATGTAATCACACAATACGTGGGGTGGGATAGGGTGAGAGTATTAAAAAGTAATATAGTTAGGTGGAGAGACAGAGAGGTTAATCACTGAAGCTCTGTTTATCGATTCAACACCGCACATGTGCAATTGGAATGATGCAACGCCTATACCGGAGATATGGAAAGTGGCAACAAACAACAAAGGGAAGTTGGAGAGAGAAATTGTGAAACCGTGTGACAAAAATTGATATGATTATGAGCAATAATTCATGCTCGAAACGTCATCCAATTGTTAATACTGTATCACTGTGTGATTATTAAAATAAACTTAACGAATAGGTACCGTCTATATTTTGTAATAACGATAGATGGAAGATGAGAAAAATTTAATTCAAATGATCAGATAAATATTAAATTACCGGATTCTAAACTTCATCATAAATGTAAATTTCAGCTGGTCTGCACACAGACAAAATTTCATCAAATATTGGATTGCAGGAATTTGATTGGCTACAAGTTTGGTCACTCTATCTAACATTTAGCATACCTTTGAAGAGTCTCAAACTAGGACGAAACAGCTGTCCAATAGTCCCCGATTTTCCCGTGGTTCTATAACTGGTGCCAGCTCGTGACTGAACCTATGAAATCTTGTCTTGTCTCCTGTACTTCAATGATTCTCTAGATGCTACCATTGTAGATCGAAAGGTACTCATAACAGTAATCCTATTTAGCACTTCAGTGAATCAGTCACGACCTGAATAGTTCAAAGTATAGTTTTTTTGTGTGTATCGAGCAGTCTTAGCTTCCTTAGAGTTGCAGGTAGTTCTTATTTATGAATATCAGAAAAGAGGAACGATGAATTTGCAGCTGTCTACCAAATGATTTTTAAAATTCTTAACATTCTCAATGGACAAAGTAGTCAATTGAATCGCACACACACCAGTGCGTCAGTAGTACTTTTAGCATATTTTTAATAACTTGCATTTCACACACTTACATATGTGCCATTCTGAAATTTGTTGTATTTTTTCAACAAAAAAAAGAACATTTATTTTTATTTATTTTGCATCTAAATTTCAGTAAACCAATCGAATTCTAGTGTTACCCATTCTGCACTATTGCACATAAAGCTTTGTGTATGTCTATTTAAGTGTGTCTGTCTGTGAAGGCGTAGATGGGTGACAAGATTCTCTTGAATTTATCTATAAATATGCAGTAGTGAATACGAGTAACTTTCATTTAAATGGCAGTTAGTACTTTGTGCAGAGTCTATCGACAATCAGTAAGTGTTTTTTTGTTGATGAATAATAATTTATTAATCAGTTTTCTATGAGTCATGCTACCCTTAATTTGGTGATTCATTTATTTCTGGTAATGTTTGTTTTCTGAGACTCCTTTGATAGGCGCTGATGTGATTACTGCATATCAGAGAAATTATTTGATAATATTCTAGTGTTAGTTTGCAGGGATCTGATTGCTTTCAGGATTTCATCATGAACTGACGTCGGTTAGAGAACCATTGGAAAAACTGGGAGTACTGCCACACAGCTGTATCATCCTAGTTTTGGATTCTTCACAGTACGCACCCACCAACGGGGTTTGAACCCAGACCCTTCTGGTTACAAGGCGAGCTCGTAGACCATTAAGCCACTGGGACCCGATGGTCCAGTAGTCCTCTAACCAATGTCAGTTCATGATAAAATCCTGAAACAAATCAAATCCTTGCCAACCAACACTTGAATATCAATCTGATGCTCACTAGCGACTGGCCCCATTCAGGTAGGTAGTTATCTGGGTTCTGGTGGGAAGTCGTGACCAGTGGTGTAAAGCCGATCGGGTGTGATGACAAATACTCGCCGATGACATTCGCTAGTGGTCGCGCCATATCATGAATTGGCAGATGTTGGAATTTATTGGCCGGCCATTGGGTCGGGTCCCAGTGGCTTAATAGTCTACGAGCTTGCTGGCCTTGTAACTGGAAGGTCCTGGCTTCGAATCTTAGTGGGTGCATACTGCTAAAGAGTCCCAAACTAGGAAGAAACAGCTGTGTGGTTTTCCGATAGTCCTCTAATCGATGTCAGTTCATAATGAAATCCTGATAATATCCTGTATGAATTAGTATAACAGATGCAAAGGAAAGTGCTAATTTGATGCAGGGCATGTAGATAGAATTATTAATATAAGAGACCTAAGGGTAAAGCTCACGTTTGTAACACTTCATTATGTTACTTTTAAGTATACTTGCAGGAATTAAAACTCATTGTAATGAAGCGTTGCAACTTTCAAATATTTAGTATCATATTTGAGAAATTCTGGTTTCTTACAAAATGACGAATTAAATCAATGTATAAAAACACACTAATGTGATGAAGTAAACAGTTTTAAATGCAGTTAGAGTAGATAAAACTGCAAGAGACAGCATTTGTTTAAGGTAGCATTTCCAGTGGAGTAATATAAGCTTGATGACCACTAAAAACCAGGAAGAGCTGAAAAATTGTCTCATCCTAATTCGAGATTATTTAGAAGTGAGCATTCTTGGCCACATAAAGGATAAGAGCCACAAAAGCACATGCACGTTATCATTCAGCCAGTGCCACCGACGCATACTAAGGATTATAGAGGATTTATTTAACAGTGATAGTCAGATTGTGATTAACTCCGTAAAATAAGTCATAAGTTTATATGAATTCCTTCACAAGTGGCTTCTGTGGCCTTCAAAGTTATCCTTGATGACACCGGTTTTTAAGCATTTACTTACAGTCAGATGCTCGCTAGTGATTAGCTACAGGACTGAGTTTCCTGGAGTTCTAGTGAAAAGTCATGACCAGTAGGGTTCATCTGATCAGGAGTAAGGACAAATACTCACCACCGTTGACAATGGCTGGTGGTCGCGCTAAAATCACGAATTGATAGAAGTTACAATTCATGAGCCATTGAGCCGAATCTCAGTGACTGAATGGTCTACGAGCTTGCCTTGCAACCGAAAGGTCCTGGGCTCGAAACCCGGTGGATGCGTACTGCCTGTGAGTCCCAAACTAGGACGAAACAGTTATCAAGTACTCCTTGATTTTCATTGGTCCTCTAACTGATATCAATCCGTGGTCAAACTTTAAAAACCAACCAAATCCCTACAAACCAATTCTTGAAAATCATAAAGCGTAACAAAATTGGCGGGATTGTTTAAGTAAACAGTGATGTCCCCAAAATACACCAACCTCTCCACTGTATTCAATTCTTTTTGGAGGTTTTATCAGAAAGAAGAATACTGGTAGAGAAACAGGTTACATAATAAAAATTACACTGATATGAGAAACAATTTTTTTAAGCACCTATTGATACAGTGTTACTTATTCACTGATGAGACTTTGATTCCCATATTTCAACTTATTGCTAATAGTTATGTCAAGGTACCAAGGTTGCATCTAACCGGAGACATGTGAAGTGACGTCATAACAGTGTTAGGAAAACTTGTTGACATTTCTATGGGCAATAAATGTTTTACGGAAACATCGTCCATCAATGAATAATCTTGCTTGGTGACACTACCATGTTAAATAAAATTATTTTGTTTTTGCAGTTTGACAAAGTTACTAGATCTTACAAGACTAAACATTTTAAACTCGTGTAAAAATGTTGAAGTGAAAACGTGAACGATTAGGAAGTGAAATTTCCTTGTTTACAAAGGTTAATTAATGAATTATAGACTATAGTTTGGCACAGTTATCAGTATTAAAAGATATCGTACTTCGTATCTACCTAAAGGGGTGTTTGAACTGAGCCGGCTGTTTGAGCTGAGTCACACTGAATACACCACTGAGGAGTTCAGCACCAAACGAGCAAAATGGAAGTCCAGTGTTTAGATCACCTCGATCTAGCTAGGAAGCACTACTGGTTGTTATGGTTGGTATACAACTACTCATCTCAATCAATCAGTAGTATATAGTTCTTTGCAAAAGTTCTTGCTTTCTTGATCACCATTTATGGTATCAAGCAGATCACATACTGTGATCTGAATAAATTGATTTCCAGAGGAAATTTCTCCCCTCAAACTGTGAACATTGCAAATTGCTAACTGATTTACAAAATGTGAATTTAACTGTTTAATTACACCCGACTTTAGCTGCTAGTAATGCCCTACTGACATCTTTGAATATTTTGTGATATTGATGACATTTTTTTGTAAAGACACAGTAATTATATCATTATCAAACTGATAGTTTAAATGTCATTTTCTTTGTGGCTGTGTGTAAGCCTGGATGAAAGTGTTAGAAATTGGTAGCTGGCTGTCAAGAAGCCTTTTTTAGTCTGTGAAACAAAATTATCAATAACTGACAGGAATGATCTTACTTCAGTCACCGGGTTTCTTGATTCTTCTGCTTACCTATTCACACTACACACTTTGAAGTCATCAGGAAAATTCTGCTTTATACATAACGTAAGATTGCATCATTTACTAATGAATTCAGAAATTTTACTTCTGTAATCCAGAAAGTCGGAAACCGGGTTTTTTTAATTTCCTCCACGTTCCCCAGTGGAACATAGGGCTTCAAGCTAGTGGCTTGAAGTTTCTGTAGCAGTGTTTATTTTACAGGATGGGGTTGCTAGCCTCATGCCCAACCTTTCCTCTTCACCAGCATTATTTCTGGCTTAGCGAGGTAAAGAAGTGCGTCGTTGGCCGGGGATTGAACCCCGGACCATGTGTATGGTCGGCGAGCGTCCTAACCACTATGCCACCGACGGAAACCGGGTTACTGACTCTTAACATTAAACTTCAATTACAGACCAATACAGTTTCTTTTTATCAATAACTTTGGTGGTCACATTACATTCTTAATTGATAGAGTACTATAGTCACTAAGATTTAGTTCCATTATCATTCATATTTGTTATTATGTGAATTTATTTCGAAGCAAAAAATGTAATTGAAAATGTATCGTATCAATTTGAAAACTGCCATTATTTGCCAAGTATCTATTTGGTCTAATTTAATAATTGTACAACATCAATTTTTTGATATTATTAAACAATTTAGAATTGTATAACAACATTGTTTTATTTTGAAAGTAACAAGAAAGAAACATAGTTGCTAAAAGTTTTAAATATTTAAAAATTGGTACTTTCAGAAGACATTTATTTTGGCTCATCAGATAAATTTATAAGAAATGTATATTAATTTTGAAATGTATATTAGATTTTTTGTTAGTGTAGGTGAACGCTTAGGTTTCTATTCGTTTTTAGGTGGATTTACGTTTCCCGTTGATTCGTTATGTTCGATCGAAAGATTGATATGCCGACATGTCAACAGAGATAGAAAATATTTTTGATTGGACACTAGTCAGTAAAGTAGTGTGATGTGGCTCGCCATTACGGTGCACTGTGAATTGTTGATATTAGATGGTTGAAGGCAACCGGCAGGACACACATTAAACTAGTTACTGACTAGTGTCCATTCAAAAATACCCAATACAGTCCTACAGGAGGTTAATTGCAAGCCTGAATAGCTCAGTGGTAACGCCTCTGACTGCAGCACTCACTGGGTGACGCAGGTTTGAATCTTAGAAGGGACATGAGTTCTTTCGAGGCTGCAGATACGCCTTGCTGACTGGTGAGTGCCATCTAGCACGAAACTTAGGTCCAAGACTTCCTGCTTATTCCCTCCAACCATCTAATACCAAAAATTTAGAGAGTGAAACCTCAGTCCAACATAATCGATCAACGGGAAATGCAGACCAACCCAAAAACGAATAATAACTTATACCCGTTGCATAAGAGGTGGCCCTATGGATCTAGTGGACAGTGAAACTATACGTGCAGGGTTCAAATCTTAATTGGAACACCATCAATTACTGGGAATGCAGGTACATCCGACTGATGAGTCCTAAAAGGGACGAAAGTACATCTTAGATCCCACTGCTAGTCAACTCCAGCCAAAATAAAACCTAGTTTCGTGCTTGGTTTTTCTTGTGCACTCACAGGAGAAGTCATCTGACATAATTTTTATAGTTAGTATACCTTATCTATGTATCATATTGATCATGAAACATATTTGATAAATGTCTTACTAGTTAGCTGAAACCTGAAATAATAATAATACTAGTGAACTCATCAACTTCCTGTTTCACCTCTAGACTGTGCGATTATAAATGTTACTAAAATATTCTTTGTTAACGAGAAAGAATAACCTCTGCTTATTTCTGTCTAACAGTCACCTTATGACTTTAATATTTTCTATGTCGTTTGACTAGTGAAAAAAAAGAAATATTTTACCCCGGAACAAGTATGAAATATTTTGATACATCGTGAATAGTTGTAATCAAAAAATTCAATCAAAGAATCGAAGTCTTTCAGAGTGTGAGATGTTTTGTTTCTCCCTAAAGTAATTAATCCTGTCTGCTGAACTATTCACTTATCGTCTACAAAGGAAAACATTCTCACCCTTCTTTCTTTTTTTAATAAATCACCCGCTAGCAAAAGTTTTTTTGTCTGTAAGGAAATAATGTATTAAGTTTTCTTATGTAGGATGTTTAAGGTTGGCTAACCAGCCAAGAATCGAGTATAAATAATTACTGAGACAAATCGTTTGTTTTTCTTCCCTTTCAAAGCTGTTTTGTTTCTTTATACCTACCCAAGCCAGCCCAGTTATAAGTTTATGGATGAGAGAGTAAAGGAATTTAGTCATTCTACAAATCTACGAGTAAAACAAATAAATCATGAGTAAAGTTTTCCCTTCGTTTTAAAATTTTAGGTTAAAGAAGGTTTAGTTGACTTGAAATTGTATTCTGTTGTAATAAAAATCCTAGAAAATCAAATACCAACCAGTACAGGATGTCATAAAAGTTGGAAGGAACCTTATTCGGTATTCAGCGTTTATAAGACACCATCAGCTATATGAAGAAATTAAATGATACAGCATGAAGCCGTATTTCGAGGCGACTAATCTACCTGAAACTAGTACAAGAAAACAGTGAGATAAACTGTAGCTCCATGGTTGTCTGCTTATTTAAGACAAATCAGTATATCACAATATTGCTGATTGAAATGAAATGTACACTTTCTTCAGCATTGGATATCACTTTATTTGTAGTCCGCTTCTAAGGCATTTTTGTGATATACGTTCTATTACTTGTTCAATGGAGGAAAGACTTTGCTTATTGTTAACTGTTTCTATTCGACTATGACAAAGTTTCGGTGAATAACAGAAGTTTTCAAGAATTATTTTTTATTTTAGGGATTTGATTTGTTCTAAGTCTGATCATGGACTGATATCAGTTACAGAACCACTGAAAAGCAGCGACTAGTGGATGGCTGTTTCGTCCTGGTTTGAGATTCCTCATCAGCACGCACTGACGACCTTACCAGGGATTGAAACCTGAAACTTTAGGTTATGTGGCCAAGCTCGTTGACAATTTGGCCACTAGGATAAAATCAAGTAGCCCGTAAATTCTAACTTCTGTCTATCCGCGATTCTGGCGCAACCGTCATAAGCGAGTATTTGTTCTCATATCCAACTTGGTAGGCCCCATTGGCTATGGTTTCTCACTACGATTCCAGGCAATTTTCTTCTGTAGCCAGTTACTAATTGGCATCGGATTAATTTTCAAAAGTTATTTTTTGTAAGGATTTCGTTTGTTTCAAGTCTTGAAAGATGTTAAGATTCACGAGTCATTCAATTCTGGGCCAAGTGGTTGAGTGGTCAGCTGAAAGTTATGAGTCCCATTCCTGGTGGAATCATGGTTGAGTGCTGTGAAGAGCCTCAAACTGCCACAAAACAAATGTTCAGTAGTCCATGGTTTTCTCTATCTGTCATCAATCCGCGATTAAACTTGAATAACAGATCATTTCTTATTTATAGCTTGATATATGAAAAACTAGCCATATTCAAGATATAACCGTGAATCTCTTGGTGTAGCGTGGCTTCATAATAGTCGTAGTAATTTCTGTCTTATTTTCCTTGACTATACGTTAATTCATACAGTTGTAAGCCGACAAATAAATGGACGTAAAATCAAGCGGTGGTGAAGTCGTCACTTACCTAGATTTTTGACGAAAATGAGAGGGTATATTTAAGGAGGTTTCAACCATACGTTCAACTTAGAATGACGGCAATATTGATTTTTTACAGGGTTTCATCACGAGCTGACACTGGTTAGAGAACCATTGGAAAATCTGGGAGTACTGGACAGCTGTTTCGTCCTATTTTGGGACTCTTCATCAGTAAGCACCCACCAACGTGGTTCGAACCCAGGACCTTCTGGTTACAAGGCGAGCTTGTGGATCATTAAGCCACTGGGGCCCGATCCAATGGCCCATGAATTCTAACTTCTGCCAATTCACGATATAGCGCAAACGCTAGCCAATGTCTTCGGCGAGCTAGCTGGTCTTGTAACCAGAAGGTCCTGGGTTCGAACCCCAGTGGGTGTGTACTGATGAAGAGTCCCAAACTAGGACAAAACAGCTGTCCAGTACTCTCAGATTTTCCAGTGGTTATCTAACCAATGTCAGCTCGTGATGAAACCCTATAACCAATCAACTAAATCCCTGCAAACCAATACTTGAATATCGATTTTATAGAAGCTTCATTTTTTGATCAGTTTCCTTTGTGTGTGCAGGAAAATTGAGTTGGCAAATACTAAAATTTGCCTCTGGACCACCTTCAACTATATAACGGCCAACTTTTCTCACCCTTTTCTAGTAATGCATGCACTGATGTTACTGCCTTTGAAGAGAAGATACACATTTGGCGTGTTGTGTGATTCCTAAGCAAACACCATGCAACTAAATGTCAGATTGTTTGATACAAATTTTCTTAAATCATGGAAAATACCCACCCAGATATCTTTGCTGAACTTCTTGTTCTTTTCTCTCAAATATTATTAACACTGATAACTATCCTACATCAGTAAATCTTCAGATTTTGCTGACAAATGGTCGGTTGGTCGGTTTTCGACATAGAACTTTGCACATATGTGCAGCAGTTCAAGTTGCCACACTCCATGTAGCACACAAAGCAAGAGTAGAAAGTAGGAGAAATGCATAATAGAGACAGTAAACAGAGGTGTGAGACAAAGGTATAGTAATAACGGAGAACAAAACAGTTTCATTGGAAATCATAAGTCACAAGGAGTGGATGCATTTGCGCCAGCCACTGAGAACGATTTTGAGCCATGTCACCAATTGTTTCCAACCATTGGTTTTTACCGTCCCGGGGCCCCCAACCAGGAAGTCTACACCTTCCTACGTGACTTAAACTAACTATTGTGGATTTCATTGACTGGTGAAGCCTGACGCTATATCAGCTAACATTGCCCATCGAGGAAGGCGGTGACTAGGCATACGTAACACATGTCCTAACCATCTCAGTTGATTTAATTTCACAGTCTCGTCGATTGATTTTCCCTCTTTACCTAGCACTGGACGCCTAACCTCAATATTGCTCACCTTATTATACCACTTCACGCGGGAGATAGAACGCAGACACCTGTGATTGAAGACAGCTAATCTTTTCATGTCTTCCGCTCTCAATGGTCAGGTCACAGCCATAAAGGAGGACGGAGTACAAATTAAACTGCTACAAAGTCATACTTTGATTAGTTCACCTCATTTTTTTTGGTAACTGGAAATAATAAAATAATAAATGCTGCAAAACTGCAGTAATCAATCAACTGTTTAACAGAGTACTCGTTTTCTTCTAATTTTTAGATAAAATGCTTACGCAGTGTGCCATCAGTGCAAACTAAAATCCCCTCCAAGTTTTATTCTACTGAAATTAAAAGTGACCACAATAATAATAATCAATCACCTGTGAATTCATGGAATGAATGGGATCCTTTAGAAGAGATAATTGTTGGTACACCAGAATATGCTACTGTACCACACCTACTTCCTGAAGTGAAGGTAATTGTTAAACTTAACAGTCATATGATTTCAAAGTGTTTTTTATATTTCTTGTTACAAGTAGGCCTCTTTTTCTTCGTTCTTGTTATTTTTATGGGAAAATATGTACACAAAAAGACCATCTGCAATAGTAATTCATTGCAAACACACACTGAATTTTGAAACTTGAACATCAAAAGTCACTTCATCAAGTTGTAGAAGTCGCTTGTGGAGACTAAACAGCTTCGTTGGTGGTGATGCAATCAGGAAACTACGGTTTCTATCTCATAGATAGACTACTTATTAGTGCTTTATTTAATCATCTGACGAAATCAATCTGCCGGAAATAATATCACAAACTAGACATATTTACATCTTCAAGAGTAATTTTGGTTCTTTGTAATAACTGGAGAGTAATTTAATGGCTGACTATTTTGACGCATAAACATTTCTGATCGATAGACATTGAGGTATCAGTGCTGAAGTGAAGTGCTTCATCTACAAGCTATTTATCCTATCATAATAGTGAAAAACAGTTACCACTTCACTTTAATTATCTTCGAGAGTCTGTTGTACAAAATAGCTTTCAATCTACTAAAAATGTGCCAAGTCGTAATTGTTCACCTGACTTAGTGGTGCATCGCATACATATTGCATAGATTTCTGTAGGTAGCTTTACATATACATTTAGATTTATTTTTAAGTGTGTTTACAGGAATTCGATTGATCTCAAAGTATTTCATGAACTGATATCGTTTAAAGAACTACTGGAAATTAGGAAGTAATGAACAGTTGTTTCTTCCTTTTTTGGGACTCCTCAGTAGTATGTGCCCATGACTCCCTAGGGGACTGAAATCAGGGCCTTCAGATTAGGAAGCTACCCTGTTTTCCATTCAGCCGCTGGGACAGAATTCGATTACCAGTAAATTCGAACTTTGGCCGATTCGTAATATACAGTGATATATAAGTTGATCGTATATCATAAGATACTCAACCCGCCTATATATATTTGCGTTAACACTTTCATTTTTCCATTGAATTATTCAAAACATAACTTCTTACGGAAATGAGAAACCTAATATTTACCCTTTTCCGTTTGTTTTTTTCATAGCCATGTGCTGCTGTTAATAAGCATGATTTCTATATTAAAAATGGTGGTAAATATTGGGCGGATGTCATACCTAAAGAACACTGGCAGTTATTGTGTAAACAAGTTGAAGAATTTGTCAAGATACTTGAACTTGAAGGGATCAAAGTTGTACGACCTGATCCAGTAGATCATAAAAAATCGTACAAAATCCTTGATTTTGAGTCACAAGGTTAGTGCGTGTTGATGACTTTTACGGAGCATAACATTTGAACTGACATACAAAACAAATGGCATTCATCTCCTGAATACAGCATAGTGAATGATAGCGCTAGATGACATTATAGACAAAGAATAATGAGTACAAAACTTGGGCACTGTGGTAGAGTATAACTCCATTATAGATCAGATTTTATTTTGATAAATCACAGAGTGTTACACAGTAATATTAACTGATGACGTTTCGAGCACAAATTATTCATTACTGCTCATAATCAAATCAAATCACTCACACAACTTTCCGGCTTCATTTATATGCATGTGTGGAGTTGACTGGATATTTGAATAAAACTCAATATAGGATAATGTACATTGAGAAATGATAATATGAGTGTTATTGACCAATTACAATCAGATGGGAAATAAGACGAATTTTTTATATTCATAATAAGTAACTTGTTAGAATGTTATGATGTACTTGAATTGAAATAGAATTTTGAGATTATTTATTATCCTCCTCTGATTTGACTGGTGGTAATATCTTCCATATTTCTGGTATTTGCATTGAGTCATTTCTGTTGCATGTGTTGGGTGTAGACTCAATGAACCAGGATTCAGTAATCAATCTCTCTCTCCACCTACATAGATTACTTCTTTGAATCTTAACCCACTCGCACCCTATTGTGTGGTTGTGTGTTAATGCATGCAGTTCAATCACTGAGCTTTTTTCTAAATTACTCATCTTCTCAGGGTCAAACATTCTTCCCTTAGCTAAATTCTTATGTTCCGACAAACGAAACTGTTTTTGTGGGCGTTACTGAAGCAAATTCTGAAGACAGGATAAACTTTAGTGAAAAGCGAAATTCATCTTTTTCTATAGTGAATAAATTGTGAGTTATGTTGAAAAATTACAATCCACACAACCTACCTATTTACTAGATAACAAGTAGTCGATGAGGAATGATACAAATGTCAGTGTGTAGATAATTAATTCTATCCATTAATTCCATTCACTATGGTATCTGTCTTTTCGAACAATAGATGAAACATAATTGTGATTTTTTTAGGCCTATGCTATTCCACTTAAAATTAAGTTTAATTGCGAACTGACTCACAAAAGTGAAAATGTCAAGATCCGTCTTAATTTTTAAAGAACATTACTTAATTTGCATTTATTCTGTGTGTTCAAATGACATTATAACAGCGAAAGTCGACGAGATCAGACGTAGTCGGTAGTCTCCAGTAGCCGAGTTATCCCCATGTAAATATGTGATGCTAACTTTTTTGGAGGATTTCATGCTGAATGCTGAAGCCATTTGTTTTTGTCTCCATCAACAAAGAATAATATGACTATGGTGAGCTTTGATATAAGAATAGAACTTGTGCACTGTGGTAGAGTATAATTCCATTATGGGTTAAATACATAAACCAGGTTACTCCACACGACCGATAGTAGATTTCAGGAATACCCCTACTTATGAATTATCAAAACACTTAGCTCTAATATTATGTCCTATTAGAAATCGTTCAAACTCTAGACTAACTAATTCATATGAGATGAAAAAGAAACTAAATGACATTCTACTAGAAAATGATGAAACAATGGTCAGTTTTGATATAACTAGTCTTTATACTAATATACCGATCAATATGGCCTTAGAAGCAGTTAAAAGGGAACTAATTTCTGATCCCAAACTTAGTCATAGGACAAAGCCGCCCACTGAGAAAATTATTTTAGGAATTCAGTTATGCCTCACATCTAATATCTTTAAATTCCAAGGTAAAATATATAGACGAACAGAAGGTGTAGCAATGGGATCACCAATATCCCCTATCGTAGCAGATGTATTTATGGACAGCTGAGAAAATATTGCTCTTAATACATTTAATCCTACTCCAAAAATATGGTGGAGATATGTGGATGACACTTTCACGGTTTTAAAAACAGAATATATCTCCAGTTTCTTCACATATATAAACTCACTAGTAAAGGGAATAAAATTCACATTTAAATCGGAAAATGAAGAAGGATAATTAGCTATGTTAGATTGTAAAATAAAACGAATAGAAGAAGGTAAACTGCACACTAGCGTTTATAAAAAGCCAACGCATACTAATAGATATTTAGACTTTAATTCATCTCATCCGTTAACTATTAAGGCAGGTATAGTTAAGTGTCTAACAAACCGAGTAGTAGCACTAAGTAGTACAACAAAAGACCTAAATGATGAAATAAAACAAATAGAAGTGTTGGTGTTAAATAACTAGCTATCCTACAAAATTCATTAGGAAGATCAGAAAAGGTCAAAAGCAAAATAAAATAATGGTGAAACTAATAATGATAACATAAGTAAGAAAGAACATAAGGCATCTACAGTTTTACCATATAAGGAGGAGACATCTGAGACCCTACGTGGGATTCTTAATAAATCAGGAATTAGGGTGGCATTTAAACCTACAAACTCACTCAGGGACAAGCTCTGTAGGTTAAAGGACACTGTCAGTTGACCCGATTAGACAAATAATATAATTTACAAAATACCTTGCAATGACTTGAGTGAGGTCAACCACACAGGTCAAACTAGTAAGTTGGGGGTAGTCAGATTGTCAGACCATAAGAATTTAGCTAAGGTAAGAATGGTTGACCCCGCGAAGATAAGTAATTTGGAAAAAGCTCAGCGATTGCACTGCATGCATTAACACACAACCACACAACAGGATGGTAGAGGGTTAAAATTCTAAAAAGTAATATAGGTAGGTGTAGGTGGAGAGAGGTTGATTACTGAATCCTGGTTCATCGAGTCTACACCCAACAAGTGCAATAAGAATGACTCATCACTCATACCAGAAATATTGAAATTACTACTACCAATCAAGTCAAGCGATGGAAAATAATGGAATTATATAAACGAAGTTAAAAAGTTGTGTGAGTACCTTGATATGATTATGAGCAATAAATTGTGCTCATCAGTAAATATTACTGTATAACACTGTGTTACTAAAATCTGGATCACCTGAGCACATTGCTTTTAAAAATCATAAAGAATTCGAAGAGTTTATTGAATGAAAGTCGTTCAAACGGTCCACTTGAATTGTCACGGTTAGTTCCAGATGTTTACGGAGGTGATGCACAGCATCTAATGTCATTCAACTGTTTTTTTTTCTAATGTGGTTCAACAGTCACTTTATTATAAGCGTTTCTTTCCCATAAAGCCTAATTTTGTCCGTTATCTATACTGTGAAGCGAAATAAGATTTTGAATAGCAACAGTCGGAAATCGTTTGACTCAGAATCTTAGATACCATTTATCTGAGATACTTGTCAAGTGTGACTAACTTTTCGAATTGAGATTAATCACTTGGATAAACATTTGTATTTTACTGAAGCTGTGGACAGTATATAGTTTTCGAAAATTAATGATATACTGGGACTCTTGTTTAATTACTTTGGCTAGGTAGTCATTTCGGTTTTAACTGAGAACATGGTTATTCACATTCAGTAATTTGGTTTATTAGGTGGCAATTAGGATTTCAAGTATTTGTTGTCGGCGTTGTCTGTGTTTCATCTAATAATTTTTTGTGTGACCACCTAGCTGAATAAATCGACATCGAAACTCAAAACTTAACATCTTTTAGTTTTTATGTGGTGAAGCCAGATTTTTACGTCTTTCAGATAACGTTTATACATCCCAATAGTTCTCCTGTATTACCGAGACACATTAGTACTCAGCAGCAGAACTGTTTATTGAGCAAAAGAATGTGCGGTAATGACAAACTGTAGAAACCTTATATTGAAATCTCTATTCGCGCATGTTTATTGTATTGTACTTCTGGTATCTTCCTTTCATGCCTTCTATATTGTTTTACAAGGATCTTTATTCCTTCTTTTCCCCCACTTAATCCACCGCTTCACTATTCAAGGTTCTTGCAGATGACATCACACACAATATACCACTTACAAAATCTTGTCAGTGACACACGCCACATTATATTCTCTATTGTGAATCTGTTTTTCGCCTGAAAATAATTGACTGCTATCAGTATGGTATCACTCAATATCACCATAGCGAGAGCCAGTGTCACTACTTATAAGTGAAACATGGTATATTTGATATTATTCGATGAAGTTCACCATACGAAAAAAAGGTTTTGGTAAAGCACTACTGAGAATCTTATTTACTCTCATATTTTCCTAGAGGCCAAACCCACTTTGTCACGAATTAATGAATGTGTTTCTGAAATACCTGTTGTTTAGAATTTATTTGTGAAAAAGATTGAGCACGCTCTAAAAACCATTCACTTTTTCAGAATAAAGGTGGTAGTCGTAAACCCTGACGCCTTAAAATGTGTATGCCCTGATAGCATTTAACTGAAGTGTAGATATCACTTTCGGTGTATTTTCCTGAGAAGACAAGGCTGAAAAATTTTGCATAAGTGCTGACGGAAATATTTGTTAGTGGACCATATGATGAAGTATATTTGATCAGTATTTCAATCAATAATCAGCTTTTCATCATAAATTCAGTTTGTCTCACTATTTTTTTAAATAATGTACTGATAATCAAGAATTCGATCAACACTGACTTAAAATTTAACTGTTCTGAACCTACGGATCGCTATCTTGAATTGACCATAAATCAGCCTCTATTAACTTATACCTCCTACCAATAAATATATAAGCGTCTACACGAACCCATAATATATCTACCATGTGAAATATTATTTTGAAGGAAGGCGAAAACCAGCATACGTGTACTTTCATCAAAATATGTAAATGCTATTTTGAAAATCCCTTTTTTCGCGTCAAATTTCACGACATTAAGCATAAATATATGCATAAAATACATTTGATTACATTACTTCAGGTTTCTATGCTGCTATGCCAAGGGATTTCTTATTAATTGTTGGCGATGAAATGATTGAAGCTACAATGACTTGGCGATCAAGATATTTTGAATTTTTAGCCTATAGACCGCTTCTTTTGAACTATTGGAGACAAGGAGCTAAATGGACTGTAGCGCCAAAACCAACCAACTTTTCTAAGCTGATAATCGTAAGTTGTTTTGTTAAACTTTGAAATTGAAATTTTATCAATTATAATTTAATGTGAAAAACTGTTTAATTCTGATAGAAATGCACGCCAACATAAAGTAATAAATAGACTTGACGTATAGTGGAAACAAGGATTTTGAGTTGGTTTTTAGTTTGTTCAATGACTGAAATCAGTTAGAGAACGCCGGACCTTCAGGTAATGAGACGAGCCGGTCGATCATCCAGCTACCGGGACTGAATCCAGGACTGTACGAATTCTAATTTCTAACTTGAATGTCCAACCGTGGATTATTTTTGTTTTTCTGGGTTGTCTTTTAATGAAATTACTTCTCACCTCAAAATGTTTTGAAATAATAATGAAGATTCACAAACCGTCAGTGAGTGCTCCAGTAAAACTGTTCACTAGCATAAGCTTCTAGACATCAAAATAATCAGAACGCTTGTATTGAGTGAATTTCGGTGATCACTGCTTCAAGTTTGACCATGGGTTGACATCAGTTACAGAACTACTGAAAACCATGCAGTACGGGACAGTTGAAAGTACTGGATAGTTGTTTTGTCCCGGTCTGGGACTCACCGGCAATGCGTACCCACGGAATTCGAACCCAGGACTTTCAGGTATCAAGGCAAGCTCGTAAACCATTTACACACTGGAACCCGATTCAATTGACCATGAATTCTAACTACCAATTGGTGACCCCGGTAGGTGTGTACTGCCGATGAGTCCCAAACTAGGACAAAACAGTTGTCCAGTACTCCCTGGTTCTCAGTGGTTTTTTAACTGATACCAATCAGTAGTAAAATTTGAAAGAAATCAAATTCCCACAAACTAATTCTTGAAAGAAGTCACTGTCTTTGTCACTACTATTCAGTCTCTGTGAAAACAATCACAAGGATGTAATTGAAAGGATTCTTTCTTGAGTAATGCCAAGTTTAAACCTCCTTCCTTTTCATCGCCCATCTCCGAAAACGAAAGATAGATCTTAACATTTGAAAATCCTTTAAAAATTCATTCAAACTACTTACTAGCAGTTAATAATTAGTGTAATGTGTAGATATGTAATCATATTTCTTATTTTACGACAGTGTTAACGAATACTATGCAAACATCAACCTCATAATGGAGTCAGTAGAAAATATGATTAAGAATTTGAAAACAAAATTTGGTCATTTTTATGTCAAGTTTAATAAATGTCAAGTAATAAGAATGTGAATTATTTTTAGCTGTTTTAATTTGTTCATAGGCTTTAGAAGACATAAAATATGATGTTCATATTTTTATCATAAAAAATTTTTAAAGTTCTTTTTTGTTTTAGTTGTGTACATAATAAGAAATAAGAATGAGATAACAAATAAAACTATTTACTCACTTTGCCATGGTAAAATATGTATGCATTCATTCCTTTGCGTGGTACAAAGGGTTTCATGCTTTCAAGTTTCATTGACGGTGATGTTGCTCTTTTACTGTATAGGGTTGCCCCTGTCCTGCCTCTTTTCCAGCTTTACTGCCATATAAGAAACAAGGTGTACGTCAGCCGGGAATCGAACCCGAATCAAGTGCTTGGCTGGCGAGCATTCTACTACTGACGTTTAAAGGCAATCTGCTGGAAGCTGTCACCTTAGGTTTCGTGCTCATTGGCACTTGTCAGTAAGACATGTCTGCTGTCCCAAAGTAACTGATGTCCATTAATGGATTCGAATCTATTTCACCCAGTTTTGCAGCCAGAAACATTGTCACTAAGTTATTCAGGATATGACTAACCTCATGCAGACTGTAATGGATAAACTGAATGGTCTCTCAAGAGTGTAACCTTTGTCACACCCACTAGTCTTTAGTCTTAACTCATTTTGAGATATCATCATCAAGCTAGGAAACACTCATTCATGTTGAAAGTAAAGGTTTATTCAAATAATCATATGTGGCTGGTGAATTCCACACTGCCAGTTAAAAGAAGCACTTGAATAGATCTGGATAAGCTGGTTTTATACGCTTATATTCTATTCCGATCTGGTAAATCAGGAGATTCCAGGTTCGTATCCTCGCAGGCTCGTGAGGCTTTCAGTGCGTCGGTGGCATAGTGGTTAGGACGCTCACCGACCATGCACATGGTCCGGGTTTCGATCCCCGGCCGACGCACTCCTTTACCTCGCTAAGCCAGAAATAATGCTGGTGAAGAGGAAAGGTTGGGCATGAGGCTAGCAACCCTATCCTGTAAAAAAAGAAACACTGCTACAGAAACTTCAAGCCACTAGCTTGAAGCCCTATATTCCACTGGGGAACATGAAGGAAAAAAATCAGTACCTCTCATATTATGACAGCCACTAATCTATTCATGTTTTTGTAACATTCAGCTATTGCACTACCTAACAGTGATTTTAAAAGTGTTTTCGTAATATTAATTGGATAATTCCAGCTTAATCTCAAAAGCTTTAACAAATCCACACTTGACTGTCTAAAATCAACTTGATCTGCATACAAATGATGGTGCCAATAAGATTATCGTTTGTAATTTACTCATAGCATATGAAGATTATTTTTAAGTACTATTTTCTCATTTCATTTGTCTAAATTACTGTAGGATACGCCTCTTCCAAGTAATGACGGAAAGGTAACTACCGAAAGTGAACCATGTTTTGATGCTGCAGATTTTATACGTGCTGGACGTGATATATTTGCACAAAGAAGTCAGGTGGGATTTTTCAACATCTTTTAATCTTTTTCTTCTCATTTCTATATAGCTTTTCAACATATATCTATTTATTCTTATCCTTGACTCAATTAGTTTAGTTTGTAAATATTTACAGAAATTCTCGACAGGTAATTGATGACTTAAGATAGGCGTTTTTTGTTTACTTTTCAAAAATCTCATTACTTCAGCTGTCATCAGTTTGAAGAATAAACAATCTGTTCGTAGATTAACAGAAGAAGAAAAAATTCCCTTATGCTTTAAACAAATCAAACAAAGTAAAATGCATAACTAAGAAAGAACTACATCTTCAGATGTGAGATTTGTGGGGAAAATCTCTACTGATTTCCTGGTAAATTTCGTTTGACAGTGATATCATCTTGAAATAATGGAGATTTGTAGCTTATGTGGATTATTTTCAATTAGTTGTGTTCTCTGAGCTGGTCGGTTTAGTTGCGGAGCTTTCATCAACCTTCCAGACAACATGAAATGGAAGTTAGGAGGTGTGAATAAAGATTACAAGAGCCTTAAAAACACAAAAATTGCACAGGATTAAGATATAATTGTAAAATAGTTATTTGAAAAGAATTGTAAATTTGAGCATGGAAACAAACTTAACTGTCTTTATAACTGAAGCGAATGAAGACAGAGGGAGTAAGAATCACACACATAGAGAACGAAAAAAGATCAAAAAAGAGAACAAAAGAAGAAAAAAACGGAAGCTAAGGGAACATACTGAACTAGGTCCATGGTAGTTGTAGAGGTTGGACTAATTTCTTCTGAACACACAGCTCCGGCTTCTCGATGCATATCGCGAGAGCTTCTGCAGTACAGAGAAGTCGGAAACATACTGCTTTTGGTAGGTTTCTGTTGACTTTGTAAATTACTTTGAAAGAATCAGTTGAGACGCTGTGGGAGGTGTTGATCAGATGTTCAATAATGGCACTTCTGATTGAACCGGTGCCTCCTCTTTGCAGCCACGCTGAGTAATGTTCTAATGGGTTTCTAAGGCTCTCATAATCTATATTCACACCTCCTAACTTCCATTTCAAGTTAAAATTATTATTTCAATTTTGTTTCCATGCTCATTTTTTACACACTTGTTGTCCGTTCTAATCCTGTGTTAATTTTGTTTCTAAGCCTCTCGTAAACCAGATCTAGTTGAAAATAATTGTCACCTTTTATTCGCCGTCGTAATTATGTATCCATGTAAAATTATGTATTTAAATGCGATTGTACAGCTTTTGAAAATGAAATCGCCGAAAAGATATCTTTGCTGAACTTCGTGTTCTCTTCTTTCTAAGATACATTTCTATCCCTAATATTTGGAAGTACATCAGTCTTGTTTCGCTTTTTATAATGACTCATTTTTATTGGCACTTGATATATATATATATATATATTCTGGTCAAATCTGATTAAGTAGGAGGCACACTTGAGCCATATTTCGGCAAATGACAGATAAGAAACCGGCAGACATACATTGTTGTCAATTTGAACGAAAATGCTCCACAAAATATTACTCAGCTGCACGACTAACTAGCACACTAAACAGTCCAATCGACAATTCACCAATACCATCTTTAAACACCTCAGAGAGTAAACCATAAGGTTTCTCTCTTCATCTAGTTTAAAATTAAAGGCGGCTTTTGGGAACCTCAGCTAGAAGTGACTACTCCATCCCAATGATGCTGGGGCTGGATGGTGGGTCGCCACTGTAGTGATGCTGTAAGCAAGTTGAACCGCTCCTCGAAATTTTTCTTCACTTCCTATCATTTAGAGTGAAACAGGGCTTCAGGCTTTTTTAAATTTCAGTGTTGATTTCATTGGATGGGGTTGCTAGCCTCATGCCCTCCCTCTTTTTCAAGCTTTCCACCAGGTTGTACACTAGGTGGCCCATGGGTGCGTCGGATATCTAACGTGAGTAGCAAGCATTCTACAACTGAACCACCTACACATTTAGCCAAAATTCCAGTATTGTATCCTGAGAATTCATCAAAGTTTCATCCTTCTGGGAGATCCTGTTACTTAATATGGGTATTTTAGATCCCGTTTCCTTTATGATTCCAAATAGTATTACCTAATGCCAATAGTTTTTCTTTCATTCATGAAATATTCCCATTCGAACATTAATAGACAGAAGACCAGTAGTTCAGCGAAGAGTCTCTTTTCGGCGAATTCCGAATACTTTTTCTGTTTCTCTCGCTTCCACTGTGTACTTCTCACTACAGTTATTACAGTAACTTTTAGTCAGCTTACTTGTGAACAGTTTTCGACACTAATCATGTTCGGAGTCTGTCAGTGTCAGTTGCCAGGACTCAGTTATTTCAAATGAAACTGCAGAAACCTACCACCAGTGTAATTTCCAAGAACAACAGCTAATTACAGTATAACTTGTTGGGTTACCATGACACTGACCAGCGCGTCTAGGTGGAAGCTGCTATTCACTCTGTTGAATTCATCATCGCAACTATTGAGAAAGAGATTTTTTCCCATGCAACGGTATCATTTATTAGGGATTATTTATTCTAGACTGACACTGTTTATGACACCATTGACAACGTGAGAACCTCCGAAATATAGTTTGCATTAATTTATTGCTTTTCGATTGTGTACAATTAAAATGATAGAGCTGATGATTGATAGTGTTAGTTTGTATTCATTCATTGAGTTGGATTTTAGTGGTTATTTGTCAGTAGTTAAATTAATTCCTGTCTGTTGAGAACCGAATGTTAAGTGCATCCTGTATTTCCCTATTATCATAGTCACTGATGAACATAAACCAGTCAATAAAATGTTGTCGTAAATTACTGCTTCTGTTATTCCGTAGAAAAATAATAATACCAATTTAATGTTTATTCAATAAAGGTTACAAATTTGTCAGGAATTGAATGGGTAAGAAGACATTTAGCACCTCGTGGAATAAAAGTTCATCGACTATCGTTTGAAGATCCAAGACCAATGCATATTGATGCAACTTTCAGTCTAGTTAAACCTGGCATTGCTATACAAAATCCTGACCGTCCATGTCATCAAACTGATATTATAAGAAAAGCAGGTTGGCAAGTAATTGATGCACCTTACCCACTAATGAAAAAAGGTGAGTTGGAACTGCATGCTTACAATCATACAGTATGCTGAGTTACACAAAGTACTTCATATTTATAAATATATATATATATATGCGTCGATGGCACAGCAGTAGAGTGCTCGTCGACCACGCAGGTGGTTTGGGGTTCGATCCCCGGCCGACGCACTTCTTCACCTCGCTAAGCCAGTAGTAAGACTGGTAAAGAGGGAAGGTTGGCATGAGGCTAGAAACCCCATCCTGTAGAAATAATCACCACTGCAACAGAAACTTCAAGCCTCTAGCTTGAAGCCCTCTGTTCCACTGGGAATGTAAAGGAATATATATATGAAGTCAAAAGAAATTTCTTTTTAATCAAGCAAATAATAGAAGGAGAAGCCTACAGCAGAAAAGAAGGCGAAAACTCATTAGTAAGAGGCTTTAATATTAGTTGGTTTCCTAAAAAACCGACAGTAAATTTCAACAGACACTTAAAGCTATACGATTATCACAAAATGTATCATAATTAGCCTCATTTAAAAAGAAACCATTGGAATCATATACACCGACTATTTTACTTTGTAATTCATTCTAAATCTCATGATTTTGTTGTAAAGCTTTCCATTGCCAAACGCCTTAATGATGAAATTAGGTCATGTAATATATATATATATATATATGGTCTGGAAATGTAATTTGCATACGGAATCATAATTTCGTCTTTGGCAATCGTGCACTTACAAATATTTCTCAGAAATTTCAAATGGTCATCAATGTTTACTATCTATTTAGTAAATTTTCATGTAAATTTTCAAAGCATTATCCAACAGAAATACTGATATTATCGCATGCTTTTCTTATTTGAAGCAAGTAACAAAGTTACGAGAATCATGTGGTTTTCATATGTCAAGTTATTTTTAGCTTTGAATTTATAGCTGTTTCCTGAAAAATTTCTAAACCTGGCACTTCACCTTGTCTGAGCATTATATACTACTAACTATATTTTCAGAAGACAGCTCACCTTATCAGGATTAGTGAAGTAGTAATATTTAGTTCTAATTATCAAAACCCCGAAGGTAACTATAGTTCAGCAGTAATATTATTATTGTTTTTTCACTCCTTCGTCCAATTTTATTTGCGATTAGGGGTTTAAATTCTTCAAAATCACGTAAATCTTCCAGAATGTGAGTATCCTCAAGGTTGTAGTTATTGCTTACTGATGATTGTCACTTTGTCCATGTAAATACACCTGATATTTATGTTCATGAACGATATTAATCCTATGGCATCTTAGAATTCATAATTAACATTTCCCAGATGCAGAATGGTGCGTCGGTGGCATAGCGGTTAGGACGCCCACCGACCATGCACATGGTCCGGGGTTCGATCCCCGGCCACGACTCACTCCTTTACCTCTCTAAGCCAGAAATAATGCTGGTGAAGAGGAAAGGTTGGGCATGAGCCTAGCAACCCCATCCTGTAAAATAAGCACCGCTACAAAAACTTCAAGCCACTAGCTTGAAGCCCTATATTCCACTGGGGAACGTGAAGGAAAAAAAGATGCAGAATTCACATGGGTAAAGCGAGCAAAACATGGAGTAAATTTTGATCAAATAAGAGGTGAGCAAAATGTAGGTTAAATGAAACATATAAATACCTACTTCTCCCTCTTCCATCAAGCTCTCAGGGAATAAACTACCTTCTTTTACCCACTTTTCCCGTGTAAACCATACCACTTACAGAAAAACTCCACTTTTTAAACGGAATGAACCCCAAGTTTTTCCCCCCACTTTATTCATGTTCATGAAATATGTTGAGACTGAATCTGAGCAGAAAAATGTGTAATAGTGAACTTCAATGATGAAATTTTATTTACAACAACCATTACATTTAACTACTTCTTTGCTCAACCTATAGATCATGATATGTGGCTTGGATCGAATTGGTTGTCTATGAATGTTCTAATGCTGGATCCTAACCGAGTAATAATAGAATCCGAAGAGACTGGAATGCAAGAATTATACAGAAGTTTTGGTGTAAAACCTATTCCAGTTAAACTAAGACATGCTAACTCCATTGGTGGAGGATTTCATTGTTGGACGTGTGATATAAGAAGAAAAAGTAAACTAGAATCCTACTTTGATTGGTCAAAAGGTGAAATACCATCAAGCTGAAACAAATGTGTACAAAGCATTGAATAAATCAAAACTCTGCTTTTTGTTTGCTTTTTATAAAGAAGAACATGTAAACTTAGGAATATTGAATAACTTCTAGCACTATTGATTGACGTTTTCTAAGATTTACATACGGATTCAGGAATGTACGGTATTTGCATTTGTTATTGCACAATACACAGCATTTTACTGGATCCAACAATCATCTATTAAATTCCCTTATAAAAATGTCTAGCGAATATTCTTTCTTATTCTAATACAGTGTATTTGATTTGTGAATTTCTTTTTGATCGCCAAATTAGTGGGGTTTTTGGCCAAAAACACACATGTACTTGAACACTCAATTACAATCTGATTGAAAATCGTACCAAGGGAATTTTCTTACTAACACATACAGAAAGAACAAACATTATCAGGGTTTACTGGTTCTAAAAGAAAACTCATTTTACGTCGAAAAAATGTATCTATCTGTAACGCAGTTTCCATGGCAAAGCAGTGGTCACTGGAAGAACTTTGGTAGTTAGCTGGCTGTTTCTTTTTGTATATCTTTGACTAGATTGTAGAGACTAGATGTATTACTGTTTCCCCAGAATTAAACAGTTTCCGCTAAACTTAGGTGAGCCACTAACAATTTTGTCTTTAGCTTACTTAAGAGACAGAGAAGCAAAAAATAAAATGACTGAATTACTGTGAAGAGAAGTATGTTTCATGGTTGAAATGTTGAGGTTATTCTTGGGCAAAGTTTGCAGGTTATGCAGCTAGTAGCATCTGAACTACGGACGCTTAAACTGCTCGCCATAACCAATAAAGTAAATACGAAAAATAAAACTTGGGCTGTTCAGATCCAAACTTGTTGAAACAAAACTTGATGCAGGTTATTAGTCAGAAATAGATCTGACAGTTTGACAAAATAAACTGACATTTCACTTTGTTTTAGTAGTATCTACTTGTTTTAATGCCAAGAAGGTACATTACAGAGCATTCCTCTTTTGAAGGTTGATGAAAAAATAGCGGCAAACTAGAGTCGACTGTTCGGCAGACGAGCAACATCTGTCCCAAATGATGAAGGCGTAGACGACATGTTGGTCTCTGAAGATAGTGCAGCTATGCACACCACTGACGTCTGGACGAAACACTTCTCACAGTGATGGATAAATTCAAAGCTAACGTCTAAATTACCCTGTTGACTCATAGGCTATAACGGGAGTGTACAAGAGCGTAATAAATAGGGAAGGATCCGATGAACGATCTAAATATTATTGCCAAAAACTGACTTGTATCCGATATTCTACGTGATTTGACTCGTTTTGTATTAGTGAAATTTCAACGGGAATAAAATAAAATACTAATTGAGAAATAAGGCGAATAGAAGGAAACAAAATGAACCAATACAAAGAGTAATTGTCTTCATTAAAGCTTTTAAAAACATTTGTTTAATTCTGACTTTTAAGGCATTTCGACAAAAAGTTTAAGTAACAGCTATATGTACAAGTGTGAGAACAGTGGCCAGACCTTTGCAAAATCAAGCGCACCGGTAGAGTGGGAAGTGTGACAACTAACCAGCAAATATGTCTTTATGAACCTTGTAGTCTTAAACCCACATGCAGGCCACCAAATAGGGAGAAAGTTTGTCCTGTATTTGCAGAATAATAACAAAAGCAAAGTCCTACTAACTGACGAAATAGGCCTTTCCGAATTGTAGAAGTGCTAAATACTATTAAGCTGTTGGCTACTGAGTTTTTAGATTTTTTACCACAACGTTTTTGGCTGATTTACCTGCAATGCAAAAAAGATGATTAAACAGAAATTATTATGATGTGTACTTCGGAAACTTAATAAAATTTTGTGCTATTAACAACCACCTACTTCAAAATTACATTATCTAAGCCACGTTTTAGGGTAGATATTTTATAGTCTGCCAACAATAACCAATACTCAGAAAATTCCTGGTAGTGTACTGTGGCACTAATTAATGAATGAGAAGACTCACACGATGATACTGGGGCGTGTTTTCCAATAAGGGGAGCGACAGATAGGTATGTAGCGGTAAATTATCCCCCAAAATTACTAAGCCATAGCTTTTGTCACTCAACAATGAGTTCCGACCACTATATAAGTCCACCGGTTCGGTTGGAGGTACAAAGTCAAGTATCACTGCCATTTTGGAAGCCTCTAGGGAACCAGTGATTTACGCTGCTTGATCGACTTCGAACTCGTTTCCGAACGGCTTCAACTAGAAATAACTCTCACAACTGTTTTGTGGCAATCTATCCTGTTATATCTAAGCTTTAATCACACAACCTGCCTTGCCCACCTAACCTGGTGGCCACGATGTTTTTTACACCGCTAACTAGCGAAGAATGAATATAAATCTCACGGCTGTTCAAAGGGGGTATTTATTGGCAGTAACAGGAATAAATTATACAGACACACAATCACACCATAACGTCGCCGCTGATCCCTTGTCCCTTGGAAAATTATCTTGACCACCAAGCCCTCCAATCCACACGGATAAACACGCTGATCGTTAAAGGTTTAACGTCTGAGGTCCAATTGATTCAACGGACTCCTTTGATTAATATATGTGTAAAACTTGGGCACTGTGGTAGTAAGTAATTCCATATTAGTTTGTTTATTAGGTATATCACACAGTGAAACAGTATTATTTACTGGATGACGTTTCGAACAAAATTTATTGTTCATAATCACAGCATACATCCAAATAGTAGAGGATGTAGTGCGATTTCCAATGTTTTAAGAATTTGTTTAAATGTGTACATATTCGGATGGACTCCAACGCCGTGTAGCGCTTTTCCGTTGTGCTGTCGACACGCGCATCATTTGAGCTTGCAATAGAGCCGTATTCGTTAGGTAAATTTCTAAATCTTTCTCCTTCAATAATTTTGACTTTTTACTCAAAAACACTGCTAATCAGAGCACATTTTCAACTAACTAAGTGTTTTAATCTATGTCTGTTGTCAGTACATGCAGGTTAGAAAAAGTACTGAACTACTGGGAAACTATGTAAATTACGTGTAGTAAGGGTTGTTAATGTATAGCCTATCAACAGCACAATCAGCACCTTAGAAGTCTGTTTATTAGCGTTTTCTTATCAGCACTTTCGAATCAGGTAGTTTTCTGATTACTTGGGGGGTGGTACATATGTCCCTTAGCATATGCAGTATATTGTACCGTTTCTATGGAACTGCTAGTATCTTACACCTGCAAGATTATTCCCATCTATTCCCGCATTACTTCTCAACCTTACCGAAACTTATTTTGTATTTTAACAACTAAATTGTTGTTTTTCCCCGATGACTGATCTCTAGTCACCTCCCATTAGTACGTTTGAGATGGAGAAGTTTGCATACACATACCACCATGCCATCGTGAGTTATGTGCCCATCATCATCCTTCAGGAACTGATAAGCCTGCTGCTATTTCTAATGGCTGCTCAACTAACTTTTCAGAGACCGACTTGATCAAACCATTCAGAGAAATCTAAGTAACGCCGGAAGACATTCCGGACACAGAGGTTACTGAGCTGTTTGGACTGTCTGAATTCCTCAGTATAACATGCAGAGCAAACTACCCCACGCTGTATTGGCGAAGTATTTCACCGTCTGTGTTTTTCACACGTGTACCAACACCGCTGCCTTATCGGGAGTCCAGATAATGAAACTCACCTGCAGCATACGTACTTGGTCCTCTTCACTGTTACGATGAGGATTCAGAAATTTCAAATTGGAGTACAATCCGCTGACTTCCGTGAACAGACTTCGCACCACAATGTTTTATGGATACCAGCCAGTTTAACTTCGGCGATTCCGAACTTCCTGGAACCGGAAGCCATGAAACAGTTTGCTTTTAACACCCTCGTAAGTAATTACGATGGTTCATTGCAAACTGTGACACTTTAGTGCCTCTGAAAACAGATTTCGTCCGTGAAATACGCTAAAGACGCTTTTACTGTGGTTGAAACGCCCGTTGCCGACGCCTTGCCAACACAAATGGATTCGCCACATTCAGAACTTGATCAGTATCTAAGGCGGAATAAAAAGTTACCATACATAATATACCGTTCACTCAACACCTAAGGCAAGTGAAAAAGACCTTTTTGAATATATGCCGTACTGGAGAACCACAAAGTGATCATCACAGCTTTCAAAATCCATTTTGGAACAGTTTTTACCCAGTGATAAATTACCTCTAACTCACTGAATGATGCAAGCCATTTATGCAACAGAAAGGCGCCTCTTAAACACCTAAGGTACATAAAGGCTAAACTCAACGAGGTTAAAAAGTCCACCTGTAGAAAGACTCACAAAAGCTCCATAAATGATACTGGGCATGTACCGTCCAATCCTGCTCATCAGTCTCCACTGATAACTGCTGGTACAAACTGTAATTATACTGGCATCTAATATGTCGCTTTTAGAGCCGTTACCCTATGAATGGAAAAAATACCTTTTGTGGACTACTTTTACCACATAATGAGTCCCAACAATGGGAGTAAGTGACAAATAATTTCCTTGATTAACCGCTTTCTATCACTCCTCGAATCTAACAAAGAGAGAGACACCACTCTCCCAAAGCTTGTTGTACGAATCATTATGAAAACCTATAGCGTTTCTAAGCCACTGGTCAAATACTCTAATATCTTTCCATGGTAAACCGAAATTCTTCACTAGATTTACTACTAATCCAAACTTTGGCTCCCTTATGAATGTTAGTATCAACAAACAACCACTCATATTCTTGGATACCATAACATTTTTCAGAAACACTGGTATTTAGAGCTGCTAAACTATACACAGAGGCCCTTTATCTTTTGCTTCCTATTAGTCCTTATCTGAGTTGAAACGTATACGTAACACCCCACTCTATTACAGAGAAACTGGGCTTTTGGTTGAGGTCGCTCCTTTTCATGCATATTTCGCTGCCGCAAACTTATGGTTGCACCGTAAGGTAGCTGCTCGCTCTTTGACTGTCCGATCGGAATGTTTTTTACTTGATTCGATTTTCTCATACAGTTTTGAAGCAGCTTGGTTGGGAATGTTCTTAGTGACTCTTCAGAATGTGAAAGTTATATTGGTTTGATTATTCTCCCTATAAACTATAGGGAAATCTTTCAACCGTATGAATGACCAGTAGCACTTTTAGGGCGTCTTTGTATTTTTGATATGACTTGTTATCGTTCAATAGTACCACAGATTTTGTATATGTTCGAAAGAAACCTCTCAGTTTCTCACAGAAAACGTCATAGTCAGGATAAACCGATTTCTGAAAATAAATCTGCCAATGTCATCATTACATTCAT